TGCGATAGCACCATTCTTTGGAGTTCACAAAATTCTCTGATGCCTGTGGCCTGAGAGGACTGGTTTTGTGCTCAAGGCATGTGTGAATGCAGCAAATTATAAGCTGGAACAGAAATCATATGTATGATTTTCTATAGTCTTGGCAAACCAATAAACCCCAGCCTACTCCATTTTATGCACGTCAAAAGTATACAGTGTTTTAAATAAAATAGTTTGGGGTATTGTGAGTTTGTTTTTTTCAGTCTGCAAACAAATACACATCTATCACTAGTTCACAAAATTAGCCACAACTGTTTCCAGAACCCTCTTGTGTCTTCTTCCTCTTTTTTATATACCACTATATTCTTGAATGTCCTTAAAAGGCTTCTTAGTGTTTTCTCTCATTCTTACTGGCAGAAACAAAATGACTTGAGACACCTAACTAGCTCAGCTAGAGCATCTAAAAATACACATGGGGAAGTGGCTAGTCATTTAAAGAATGTTGCAAACTATTACCTTTACAGACCAGGTTTCTAGCTTGACTTTATACACTCTTTGTGCAAAAAGGCTATGAACGGGTGTTAGTCTGTGACATGGGAATTCCCCCACTGTAGCAGCGTAATCTGTGTGATTTAGTGTTAGTATCTTGTGGCTTTCAGAGTACCTTTACCCTGCAGTTTACAGCCTAGCATTACAGGCAAGTGGCAAAATACCATCCAGTAGCAGCAGGAAGCTCCATTTATATTGTCAGGCAGGGCAAATAAGCCCACAGTTTGTAGAATCACCTCCATTACGAACAGGCAAGACTTGAATGAAAAAGGGCAAAGCAGCACACATCATCTTTACAAAAGCAGCTGCTTGGAACTAAGGAAGGCCAGGTACTCTTCAGTAGCTTTTGACTGGTTTTGAGTTGGGTAGAGAGGTCATGAAGTCACCATATGTTTGGGAAGATGATACTGGCCAGTCAATCTTAGCTGGTTGGCATTCAGTCTTAGTAAAAGGTCAGTTAGTCTAGCATCTCTACTCCTGTATTTCCAGACTGAAAAGATATCCTACAGACAGAGCTACATTGTGAAACACAACCCCTAAAAAAAATTAAAAAGTTAAAAAAAAAATCATCCAATTGCATGTGCAACAGTACGTCCACACAAATATTGGCCGTTAAAAATAAATTAAAGAAAAGAAGAAAAACCTAACTTGAATTCAAAATCTTTGATTTTCTTATTCTGTATGTTTCATTTTCCTCCTTAAGCATCAACTGGAAATTCATTAATACAGATATAAACCAAACCATCACAGCAGACTTTTTCCAGGACCTGCTTATGTAGCCCAGGGAGGGAGCTTCACCAAGAATGGAGTTTTGTCCTTATGGTCCATATTATGCAGATTTAATGGGAAAGAGGTGAAAATAATTTCTTATAGGAGCTCTTACTTCTACACACACATCTAAAACACACCTTCAGCAGCGTTGAAGCACCCGGTGTAGGCTACGCTGCTTTCTAAACATATGGTGCCACCGTGTGGACAAATAAGTCTCAAGCAGTTTCCAGATGAGCTTTGCTGAATTTTAGCTCACTTGAACTCACCATTCATTTCATTTCCTCAGGTTTTAGTTGCCGTGTCCTGATCCTGCTGATACAAGCTAGTTAACTTCCGTGCCTTTAGTGGTGACCATAACAAACCTGAATCAGTACCCATTTATTCAAACTTGACCATCTTGGAATTCTGGTCAATGTGTTTCTAACTCTGAGCTGGCAACAAGAATAATATTCTACAGGGTTTTTTGTGAAGTTTTGCATACTATGAAGATTTTTTTAAAAAAGAGAGCGTATTTTTTGAAAACTTTATCAGGATTTTTACCTGGTGCAAAAGAACAACAAAAAAGGGGACCTCTGCCATAGCTTATACAGATAATTTTCTTTCTTTTGTAAATATAAAGGAACATAGATGGTTTCTGTTGAAAACACACTGATCAGACTACAATTGAAAATTAAATGACAAAGCTGCTAACCTGTTCACGGTGTCTGGTTCGGTTGCAGGAACACAAACACCACCAGCTTTGTGGCAACGTGCACATCTTCCCCTGGCTGGAGGGAGTCTTCATGCTGAGCTCTGGCTGCAAACAAACCAACCAGAGTCAGACGAACCACAGACAAATGCAGCGTCACCGCTATGAAGGCAAAGGCCTTGGTACACAGGAACCAAACCCAGTGGCTGAAAGTACAAAAGGACTGCTGCTGAATTAACGTAACTGAGACGGAAAGTTGTTGATCTGAAAAAAAAAAGTGAGTTCTGGGACCAGTTTAGCGACCACTGAGGCTGTAATTTTTCTTGTAAGTGTTTGTTGTCTCTGACTGAAGGCATGGCCGATCCCTAAGCGCTGTCCCTGTAACCTCACGTTTGTCCCTCAGCCCTTGTACCGCCTGTACTTCTCAGCCTGCAGACTGGCCTGATTTTACCAGCCACAGACATTAGTTTAACTATTCATTGAGAACTTTTTTGTGTTTTCTCCCCACTCCCTATTGCTGTGGAAATTTACCAGAGTCTGACTGTATACCTTGAAAATGACATGTAAGTGCGTGTATATATAATACGCACAGGCACACACACACTTCCCCCTCCAAAGCCAAGAGCTGTTTCCAGCACAGATCAGGGCCAACAACTCCTTCACCCACAGACCCCTCTGGGACCTGCCCCGCCACTTTTAAAACCCACTTCAGCACCTGGCACCCAGGCACTTTAGCTCTCTCTGACAGGGGCCGCCGGGGCCCGCCGGCCCCCCCCCCCGCCACTTTTAAAACCCACTTCAGCACCTGGCACCCAGGCACTTTAGCTCTCTCTGACAGGGGCCGCCGGGGGTGCTCGGTCTGCCCCAGGTACAACTTTTCATTTTTACCTTCTTTTTGAACCACGTTGTAGGCCAGGGGGCCTCCGGGAGAAAGGGCCGCCCCTCAGGGAGACGGGCCCCCCTCAGGGAGAAGGGCCACCTCAGGGAGAAGGAGATCCCCGCAGGGAGAAGGACCCCCCCCTCAGGGAGAAGGGTCCCTTCAGGGAGGAGAGCCCCCTCAGGGAGAAGGGTCTCCTCACGGAAAAGTGCCACCGCGGCCTGGCTGCGGAG